CAATCTCTGCTTCGGCCCGTTCCATCTCTGCCGAGGGCACGTACTTGTGCATCGGAAGAGCGGGGAGTCTGACGGGATTCAGCAGACTGGAGCGCCTCGTCCCACCCTTTCTTGAAGAACTCCTTGTTGTTTTCCTCAAGAGCAGGGAGCACGTCATCGGCGAACTCTTCCCGGAGTTGCTCCTCCGACATTCCTGTTCAGTGCCTCGCGCTGATCTGTCCAGCTCCGGGGTGAGAGCCAGACAGCTTTCCTCTGAGCCAACCGCACTCTCCTCCGCGGCAGAAAGCCGCCGCGTCTGCTCGGTGATCCTCCCCTCAGCATCGGCAAGGGCAGCACTTAGCTTTTCAGCGCCAACCTTAGCCGACTCGGCATCCTTGAGGAGTTGTTCGATTTGAGCAGCCTGCCCCGCCAGGGTAGAATCCCTGGCAGCTACGTCCTCCATTGCTCGGGCGAGGGCCCCCTCCGCCTCTTCCTTCTGCTCTCGGGCCCGCTGGAGGTCCATCCTAGACCCATGGTACCGCGCAGCTATTATGGAGATCTGTTGGGTAGCCTGCAAAGGAGGGAAAAAAGGCGTGTCACAAAAATGGAAAGCGAGAGAGAAGAAACCAAAGCAAAAATGAACTTACCACCAGGGAATTCTGGATGATAGAGCGGAACAACACGTTCGTTGATCGCCCCCTGTGAGCCGCCATGTCAGCCTCGAAATGCAGTGTCTCACTCACTGCATTGGCGACATGAGGATCCAGCAAAATGGAGTCATCGACCCTGATCACTCGGTTCATGTGATCGGTGGCTCGGGGATTCCACTCCGCGGCTTCCACTGTCGGCGGAGGGAAAGGGGGAGTCTGCTGCTGCCGTTGTTTGTTGTTGTTGCTGTTGCTGTCTGTTGCGGAGGAGCAGGGGTAACCCACGGCCTCTCCCGCTTTGCTGCTGAGCGGAAGATGCCCTGGATCCTCTGCCGAGGCCATCGTGCCTATGTTTGACCCTTCTCTCCTCCTCTACCTGAGGATCCCGGTCACGCACTTGACCCCGACTGAGAACTCTTGAGGATGGGGTGGAACTGGTCCCTGCAGATGGGGCGCCGCCGGTCGATCCTCGACCCCTCCCGGCAGCAAGGGCTTGCCTCTGCCTCAGGAACCCCAGGTCAATGCGAGGCGTGCTGGACATCGCGACCTCGAGAACGTCCTCGGTGTCTAGAGATTGTAGAACTTGGAAGTCCGGCCACAAATCTCCTCCCGAAGTCCCCACCTCGGCGTCCGAAGGAACAAAGTCCTCTCTGACCCCGAGCTCTTCAACTACTCCCTCTACTTCTGCCTCCGAAGCCCGATCAGGGTCTTCTTCCAAGTTTTCCTCGACCTCTTGCCTCGCCGCCTGATCGAAGAGTTCAGACCACCGCAAAGGCTCAAAAGGCTGAGGAAGCTGTGAAAATTTCTTATACCCGGGGGTGTAATTCAGCAGGATGTGGGCTGCCCGGCCGAACCCGTTGTCACCAGTAAATCTCCAAACCGTGACTAGGTCGGCAAAGTTCACCAGCGACCGAGGGGGAGGAGCTGTTTCCCGAGCAGGGATATCTGCACAAACAAAAAAAAAGTAGTCATGAACATGAGAAATCTAGAGAACAAAATAATAAACCCGAAGGAACCGACGTACTTGTCGTTCTCCATTCTAGAGGGCATAACAAGCCGTTATACTCGGGACCAACACCTCTCTGCCAAGATCCCTTGAAAATAAGAATATCGTCCTTGTACCCCTTTGTCCGAGTCGGGAAGATGAGTTACAAGGTACATGGAGGGGTCCCTGGCCTTGAGGTAGAAGTGTTGGTGAGGCATGACTCTCAAGAGGGAATAACAAAAAAGGAGATCGTTCAGCCCAATATTTACCCCGAGGCGCCTATTGAGCTCTAAAACCCCCATAATTATTCTGAAGACGTTAAGGCAACACTGCCCGGGGAAGAGGCGGAAATGAGAGAGGAATTGTAGAAGTAAAGGGGGTAAATGAAACCTAATTCCGCCCTCTATTATGGCCTTGGTATAAAAGGGCATAGCATCCTCGACCCCGAGGGTAGGAGTGTGCACCACCGAGTCATAATCCTCTATGTCTACGCACGGGAGAATGCCGTACTTGACCTTAAACCTATTAATCTGCTCACCACCCTTTACTTTATACTTTTCTGACCCCGAAGAACCAGCCTGAGGATTCTTGAGAGCAGGGCGATGACGAGGCATCTCTAAGAAAGTGAGAAAGTGGAGGGTGTTTTTTCTTAAAAATTCCCGAGGAAGCTTCCCGAGAATTAGTCGCTAAGTATCAACCGGAGACACCTCCAGTCATCGGAAAACAAAAAGGGATAGGAGGAAGAAAAGAAGAAAGAAACTAGGACTCACCCGAATTCCAAACGGAGATTTTTCTGGAAAACTTTAGGCGACTCCTTCCAGAAAGTTCAGAAGCAACGATGGGTCTGCTGACCTTAAGACTTTAAGGAAGAATGGGCAGTAGACGATGGAAGAGGAAAGAGATCTCCGGCGAAGATTCAGGAAAAGGCTCTCTTGAGGAAGTTCAGAATGGCGAAACAAGAAAATGCAAGAGGAACCCCATTTATATAGTGGCAGTTTCATCATTGGGCGCAAAAAACGAAACAGCGCATTTAATGCACACGACATCCTAAGCCGGGGAAAGCGGCTCGAGGCAATGATGAAGCATTTGTGGTTGTTGGGAAACCCTTCGTCTCCTTACGACGCGTGCCCTCGGTGTCAGAAGATCGAAGGCTGGGGGGCAGTTGATGGGACTTTTCTGAAATACTCTATGATGAAGACACGTGTCCTCGGTATTTACCAAAACACTGTTGCTAAGATCAAGCACCATCGGCGCATAAAGGTCCTCGCCCCCGAGGTACTCGTCATATAGGATCATGGCATTCAATACAAGTTACAACCAACACGTAGCCTCGGTCTGATATGGTACCTCGGTCGGTATACCTCCCTCGGTTCCGAGATGGCCTTTCCTCGGTGCCGAGAGGTACGCCGTCCTGGACGCTTCCTCTACTCCAGGATAAGCTATTGACGTACAGGTCATTAGCCTAGGCTAGTCTAGGCTATTCATCATGACCTCGTCTTACACAATTAGTGTCAGAACGTACTGGAATGCAGGGGCCACAGCCAATGGGGGATGGACGCGTGGCATATGATATCACATCGAAGACAGAGAAACCGCATGCCGTTGCTGACATGCGACTTGGGAAAGCAAACGATTAATTACACCATTCCCTTGACGAGACCGCATTCAATGCGGTAAGGCTCGGAAATGAAAGGCAATAAATGCTCCTAATACAGAGCATTTATTGCATCCTCCCCGAGAGGAGTACATTGTACCGTCGGCATCCCGATGACCCAGCATTGATTGCTCAGGACCCCAAGCAGTTAAGAAGAGAAGACATTCCTCATCAGAATCAGTGCGCACACTACCTGTACCTAATGATCACCTACTGACTACACTGACAGCAATCATGAGCTTTTGAGGTATAAATACTCATTGCAAAAGGCAAGACGGGTATGCAACAAAAAACTCTTTACTACAATACACACTCAGTGTTTTCTCCTTCCTCTCTCTCTTTCTCAAAGACTGACTAGATCGTCGGAGGGGATACGCCGGAAAACACTCCGGCGCCCTTCTAACTTGTTCTTCTTTGTTCCAAGAACCTCTTTCAGCCTTACTGGATCGTTCTTCCGCTCCCCCAGGGTCTCCCGTTGCCGTTCCAGGTTACCACCGGACCTCGCAGACTGTTCCAAGCAGCGTGGTTGGTCACTCAACTGGCTCACTCGAGTTCACCAAGGGAGAGATCTGTTCTCGTTTTTTATATTGTGCAGGATCTTGCATGCACAGTAATCGTCTTCCATAGCACTCAGGATCGATTTCATTGCTGCCCCCTTGTTGCTCTTGTCGATCCAGATCTGGTTCATCGCTGCCCCTTGTTGCTTTGTTCAGAGACGAGAGAGGCGGAGAAGAAGATATACTGCCAGAAATTTTAGAATTGTAGAAACATCCCCAGTAAAATCAGAAAATTTTAAAATTTTCCCTAAAAGTTCCAAAAATTACAAGAAATCCCAGAAAGTTTCAGAATTACAAGAACATCCCCAAAAGGTCCAGAAAATTAAAGAACCACCCAGTTTCTCCTCTTCAAGATTTTTTATTTTCCTCTGGTTTCTTTGAAGTGTGCCGCGTAGTATTAATAACACAGAAAGGCATAATGCTTCGCTCCATACTCTCACTTGTTTAGGTTTTTTTTTTGGAAAGAAAGAGACTTAAACCTTTAATTTGAAAAAACAAAACTTTACAAGACGAGCAGTACCATGGGGCTAAAGACCGATTGGTACTCACTTGTTTAGTATGGTGGGTTTCAGTTGCTCAAGGTTTGCACTTTTTTTCTCTGTCATTTTTTTTTTTACCTTTGGTTACCAGTAACATATTCCAGGTTTGTACAAAAGAGTCGTTCGGGACGTTATAAACAGTAAGTTCCAGGCAAGCTTGAGCACAGCTCCAATGCTGTGGAACTGAGCTCAGCTGTCAAGAACTTAGCCAGGCTTACAGACAAAAAGTTTAAAAGAAGGAACAAACACGAGAAACATCTCCGGAATAAAAGTGGCATGTTTTGCAAAAAGATTTAACTTGCCTAGAATTCCTGTATAGTAGGAAAGTGGCACATCTGTATTTCCAATTTTGAAACAAACCGCTGGATTTGAAATGAGACTGTACTCTTCCCATCCAGTCATTCCCCAAGCCAAGGCACCTTTTTTTGAAGTTTGGAAGCCCAGAATCCACAACTTTGGCCACTCCATATCCAGTTATAGGCTGTATGACAACAAGAGCAAAACTCAAGAACAATAAAAGCTCATTGTTCCCTGTGAGGTATTTGAAATTCCTGACTATGGTAGACACTCAATGATTTGCCTTTTGAGTTGGCTCAAAAATCACTGTACAATATCACCTTTTTCCTTATCTACCAATGGTTCTACATTTTGCCAATCAGTGGCTTCTATAGTTTTAATGCATAGTGTTTGAATCAACTTGAGGTCACCTCAGATTACATAACAATCAGCTGTTTTACTAAAACAGACCTATTAATGGTTGTCCTACCTAATTAACTGATGCTATTGATAGGATATTAATGGTTGTTAGTTAAGCATGCAGAACGACTGCGGCCCATAAGTCAGCTGGTATCCTGAAAATATAAGATGGAGAGTTGAAGGCACTGCAAACACATCTCTAGTCATTTATCATATTATCCACACAATACACTTAACATACATAACCATAGAATTTTGATTCATCTGATCTTTATATAATAGAGTTAGTTTATTAGCTATTAGTTTGATTAGTGGTTAAGACCTTGGGTCTTCATGTTTTGTAGTTGCAAAATCTTTTGCCTAAGTTTTTGATGAAAGAATACTTTTAACTTTGATATTTGGTTTTCGTCTTTTTTAGTTCTTTTTTATTCTTGATTTTTTCGATTAAACTTTTGTGTGGTGTGAGATTATTTTGAGTGTTTTATATTATTTTGGGATCGTACGGGGTTTGTCCTTATTTAAATTTGAGTTTCTCTTCTTTTGTAAAAAATTATATTTTTTTCCATTGGAAAGATCTATACCAAATCAAATTTTTTACTATCTTTTTACACAAATTTAGGATATGAGTCTTCATTGCACTCAAATTTACATTGTAATCACTACAAATTTGCCTAATTTTACATTTTAATCACCAATTTGCACTTAACCCTTGTAGTTTTTAATAACATACAATCCCCATTTTAATGTCCCGAATAATATTCACAGTTTTGACTTTCAATCACAGCCATCGATTAAATAAGAATTGTTTATACAATAGCAAATCCATCAATGAGTATAATATTTTTAAATTATGACTTACCCAACCAGGATAGAAGGACTCGACGTAGCTCCCTTCCATCTTCCTCATGCGAGATCGCATGTAGGGATCACAGGAAAGGTAGAGATTCTTCAACAGAACAGCATTCGAACCTTCTGAAACCTTCAATTTGATAGTACTCGTCTTGAGAATCATGTCTGACTCTTTGGGAAATCCAATCACGTAGTCCTTCAGAATTATCTGTTTGTTGCTCACTTCCTCTCCTTCCATTGTCGAACTCTACGACGAGCTTTCTCTCTCTACAAAGAAGAACACACTCCCTCTGTCTCTCTCTCACTTTAAAAACACGCACGCACAACACAAAGCTGTATGTATGTATAAGTGTGGGTGTGGGTGTGGGCGTGTGTACAATGTGTGTGGTGTGTGAATAAACGGGAAGGATTGAAAGGTTCTTTCGTGAAATTGTTGTGGGAATTGTGAAAGGACGCCAGGAGGGTTGGCGTTACGAGTGTGAATTGGCCTACCTCCAATTAAGTGGGAAAGGCGGTAATATAAGTGTTAATCAAACCGAATTTTACGAGTGTAAATTCGAGTTTTGTAAGCTTGAGTCGAGTTTTTAAGATTAAACAAGCTTAAAAAATTTATTTAAATTCAATTTGTCTAAAACACGAGTCGAGTTCGAGTCGAACTTTTTTTGAACTGAGTTCAAATTTGTCTTGATTAACACCTCTAGACTGTACCATCAGGGATATTGAAAATTGTAATTTTTTAATGTTAAATTATAATTTTTTTGAGACGTAAGTTATAATTTTTAAAAGGCGTGCTCGATGACGAAAGATTGGGATTGATATCAAAAGTCTATGATCAATCTTGGGGTTTGTAACCGATCATCATCTCGCATTAAACAGCTGTAATCTCTCCTTTCAAAAGTGTAATTTTACTATAAAAAATTATAATTGGCATTACTGTTCTAATTTTTTTTTCCGATACTGTACACTTTTCCCATTTAAATTGTATGTGTGGGATAAGAATAAATATTGAGTGTAACAGTAACATTAAGTTAGTATTATCGCGTGGTGAAATTGTTTGGTAATAAGCAAACAAATAGGTTATTGAACCTCACTTTTTAAATATGTGACGGTTAGTATTTTACGTGGAAAGTTAGTATCATTAAATAGTTACACCACATTATAATTAAGATGTAGTATAATCATTACACTCAATATTTACGTGAAACAAGAAAAAGACTATGGTTCCCAAAAAAAAATTTAATATAGTACCGATGAGTGCGTGAAAGTGCATTCTAAATACATTATTATTAGATTAAAATGTTAAAATTTGAATAGAAATAATTAAATATAATTTATATTATTTAATTTAATATCTATTCACACTGAGATATATTTGAGCATAATTTTATAATATTTTAAATCTTAAATATTGCACTATTGGTTGGTGAGAGATAATTTATAATTGGACTTTACACTTAACATTTTTGAGACTTTATTGTTGAGCTTTTATATTTATTTTTGTATTTTTATGGCAGCCTATAGAATAAAAAAGTTGAAACTGATGTTGTTGTCATGTAGGCCTGACATTCATAATTTTTATTGAATTTTATTATTTTCAAATTAGACAAGATTTAGACTTTTCTAAGAGTTTGAATAGAAAAGTTGATAAAGATATTTTTCAAAAAGGGTATACACTTTTAATAGCTTTTAGCTTTTTTACTTTGTGGGCGGCTGGAAGAAAAGAAAAGGCAGAGGAGGCGGCTGCTTCCGGGAGGCCGCGCAGATCAGAGAGCAGAAAAATGCCGATGACCACCGGTTTGTTCTATTTTTTTTTGGGAGATTTTTATTGTCCATTATATTTATGGGTAATTTAATTTTCAGGTAGGGGCGCGGGATAAACTTGTACAATAGATGATATTTTATTTATTTTTAATTTATACATTTAATTTTTAATTAGTAAGACTCTTTTGTTTTATCATTATCAATTACTTTTCGATGTTTTCATCTCTGAATAATCATATAATTTATTTTGTTTATAGATTTAGTCAGGCTTTTTCTATAGAATGTATTAACTCTTTGATTATGTTTGGATCAATTATTTATCTATATTGATTTACTTTTTTGTTGCAATATCGCTTCCTGAGTATATTGTCGTCATTGAATTTTCTTAATAATGAAAATAATTTACGTATTTTAAAAGTGGTGAATGATTTTGCAATGAGTTACATTTGGTTTAATTTTGGTTTATAAATCTATACCTTCCGATTGAGAATTTTGGGAATTGAGTTCCTAGTTGAGTTATTCAATGAATTAAGAATAATTAAAATACTAGATTTGTGCACGAGATTCCCGACGCTTTACTGTTTGTCAAATTTGAATACTTTTTTTTTCGTTAGTCACTTTGCTTCACTGTAAGTGACATTTAAAATTAATCTTTGTTCTCTAGTAATCATTTAATATATATTTTTTTAATTTCTTTGTCCCTTATATTATTTTTTTAATTTGTTTCTCTGTGGAATCGACACTCCAAAACTGTGCTACAACTACCGTGTTATTTTTTTGGCGTAATTAAGTACCAAAAATTATTATAGTAAAATAATACCTTTTGTAAAATGTAACCTATGTTTTAAAAAATTATAATTTTCAGTATGGTACAGATGACGATATCGTAGTCTTTCCCCTTTTAAATTGTGTGCGTGTGATAGAGAGAGAGGGGGTTGCTGGGTTTGAATGCATTTGTTGATTGAGATTGGTTGCCTGGTTGAGATTAGGTTTATAGTTTGGTGGAGGTTGGAAGGTAGCTGTGTAGTATTAATTAATGGTCACAAGAAGGAAATGTTGCATTTGTAGTCTCTCAATCTTCCATAATATAAAATAGAACAAATTTTAATAAGTTTTTTCGACGATTTTAAATAGATTCATCAAACAGTCACCAATATCCCTCTTAAAATCATTCTCATTACACTGTACTTTCAGACACGAGTTACCCTTAATATTTGACAAAGGGCGACCGAGGCTTTGGTTATTGTGGAGTCTAGATTAGTACCCTTGAATGTAGAGATATTATATTTGTGACTTGAACTTTTGACGTCTATGTCACAATAAAACTGATGGTAGAGTAAAACGTGGATGAGCAGAATGTTTATGTATAGGTAAGGTTCGATCTGAGATACTAAGCTCGAGAGAATGGTGCTATGATTCAGGGATAAGGGCTGATTCGCACCGAGGAGTTGTAGTGGTTCACCAACTCTGGAGCTCGACTAATCCATTCTTTAATGGAGCCTCTTGCTCCTGAGATCTATATTGATAATTTTCAGAGGGTTACACAGTGTTCTTGATATAATTTTAATGGCCTTTTTCTGTAATGAGGACGTTGTATAGTATTTATAGCCTACTTCCTAATTCCATGGGGTCTAAGGCGAGATCATTGCCTTCCTTCCATAACATTTCTAGTGATTTCAGGGGAAGATTTGGGTAGTTAAGGATCGTCCACTGAGACTGGCGCCTATTACTATTGAGGGAGTTTTAGGTGGTTACCAGCTGTCTTCCACTCATTTTCTTCAAGGGGCAGGTTGAGAAAACCCAAGGTCAGGACCTCAAAGCTCAAGCATGTGTGGTTGAACTCCTTTCCTGACCTCAATTCCCAAGCTCAGACTTATAATTTTTCTCAGGTATCATTAGTTGCTCCCCAGTCTCTGGTCAAAGTGGGTTTGAGCAGGGGCTGAGCTGTAGTTGAGTTAAGTCACACCTCCATGTGGTGACCTTGATTTGCACATGAAGAGTCCTTTCTGACAATTTTAAGCAATCATTTCGTCCTTGTTTCTCGCACATATCCTGCGTTTTGAAGTCCTACGTACACCAAGCTTTAAATGCTTTTGAGACAATCGGAATCGCCTCACTTCCTTGTTGATTTCTCTTTCTAGTCTCTGCCTCCTCTCTTTCTTACGATTTTAGCTTCCCCAATCTGTTGGTATTCTTAGGGTTTTTATTGAAAATCTGCTTCCCTTGACTTGATTTGAGGGATAATTCAATGTATGTGCCCAGATTCTTCAATAGGATACATGCACATTTGGGTGTGTTCGGCGAATGATTCAAAAATTTATCTTATAGATGTAAGCACTTTTCAAAGGGATAAGATTGTTTGATGTCTAAAAAAATTTGAACCTGTCAGAAAGTGTATCTTGAAAATGCCCATTCTAGAGAAGTCTCTTAAGGGAGCTTCTCAAAACCATCGTATTTGCACTTCTCAAGAAGTAGTTTTTAATTTCACCTTACTTTTCAAAATTAGCCTTAATTTTTCACCTTACTTTTCAAAATTAGCCTTAATTTTTGCAATTAAATATCTGTTTTAACCATACTTCATAAATAATTTACATATCTCAGATTAAGATAGAAAACAAAATAAGATATATTGTACTAGAACACTAGTTATAGATAGATATGACTAACTAGTTGTAGATAGACATGACTTGTTATAGATAGACATTAGTTCAAAAACACTTCTACAATATACTTTTATCAAACAGTTAGATATTTTAAAAAGTCCATGTTAATGATGAACTTTTATTTTGAGAGGTTACACTAAACGCAACCTTAAGCTTTATAATCGAGTCTTATCCTTTGTGTTCAAGTCAAACTGTTTTGAGTTAATGTTAAATATTAATTAATAATATTAATCAAATTTATTTAATTCATTACACCATATATTCTTGTCAATAGCCACATTTTCTGTTAGATCACAAGCAATCGTTCTTTTTTTACCGTTTCATATAAAGTTAATGTTTGTCTATCTTTATCCAACGAGTTATTATTAATTAGTATCACGTGAGTTTTATATAGTCCTAGTTTTATACACACGTGCTGGTAGATATTGGTTGGGTCATGGATCGAACTGGGGCGCCCATGGTGGGTCGACCCAAATTAAGGAATGCCTAAAAGGGTATGTCTTTTGAAGGTATTCTTTACCATCCAAAAAACATATCTGTTAAATATTAATATACATGTTCCTATAGGATGTGTCTCTTAATGACACCTATTAGTTGCCTATATAAACCCAAGACAATCCAATAGATAACACCTTTGATAATTCATCTAACGTTAAAACTCCCCTGCTCTCTTCTCTCTTTTCTTACATAACATTTGTAAGGCTTTTGTACTGTGAAAAACCTAGTGTTGATTCGTCTTATGTAACAACATCATGTTGCTCGAGCAATTAAAGAAAAGGAATTGATTTGGATTCTAAAGTACGTAAAACATTCT